TACATTTCAGCTAGATTTTCGTAATACTTCATTTTGTCATCTGAGATTTTGATGCGTTCTTGAAATGCAATAGCATATTCATATTCGCCGGCTTATGTTCTTTGCCACTCGGGAATTTTGTGCCTTTATTACAACAGTCGCACATCGATTGTGAATGATCTAGTAGCATTTCCGAGCCTAGTTCAGCTGAACGGCTGAACCCGTCCATTTAATGGATACCATCTGTTTATTTTAGATCACGAATCTTCGAGATGGCATTTCTGTAAATGATTGTGGACAGAGAAGACTAGAAAAGAATTTGTTTTGAGAAGGGTATACAAGGGTGTCTGGTAACGTTTTGGATGGTTGAGATCATTTTTAAGTATCATTACTCAACTGAAACTTAGAAATTAGTTAAATTGATTGTACTACCACTTGAGCTTTGATTTATATATGGAACCTTAAGAATTCCCTGGGTGATTTGAAAAGAAAATAGTAGTTCAGGCTCAAATTCTAGTCGAGGGAATCTGGGGCATGACAGTATACATTCATCTTTCTACGTGAAGCTTGAGATAAAACAGTTCTACCACTTCATCTGGAAAGAAGTGAAAATTACTTTTTGGCACCTATCTGTCTGGTACTTGTGCGAGGAACATATACATGCATTTGTTTATGTACTTGGGGGGGTTTGCGTGCATTAACTAGTTTTTGTCACCTGAAGATCGAGTATTATTTATATGATATCTTAACGGTTCATATAATTAAGTTTAATTAATAGATGTATCTTTCTTTACATCCAGGTTGGATGATACTGATGCAGAAGAGTCAACAAATGCAATTGATAGAACTGTTGCTAATCTCCTGTTCCACAACATCAATAATTGCAACCCCGCTCCTACTGAAACGGAGGATGAAGTGAAATGCAGTTTTTACAATCACGATCCATGTTTCTCTATTTCCTCTCATGGCGCCGTTCCTGATGGTGATGCAGAAGTCCCGATATTTGATCATGGTCTGTCTTATTCGACCAAAATGGTTGATGGTGACTCTTGCTTCCATCCCGCATTGATTTGAAACGATTTGAATCAAGAGTCTCATTTTGGATGATGTGAGTTTTCTCAAGATTCTGATGTTTCTGTATATCGAGTTGTGTTTTACGATACTCATCTAGAGTTATAAATTGGAATCCATGAATATATGTTTATGTTATTTTTCTGCTAGACATTTCCTTTCTGTCATCATGGTTGTGGAGTGTTTATTCTTTAAATCATGCAACTTGTACAATTTTCTTTACAACTTCACACTTGACAAGCGTCTATCAATTTTAAAAAATGTTTTTAAAATCAACAGTACGAATCTACACGAATTGTCAAACTAATTGTAGAAACTGGTTGTCAAAGAAGTTGCAGTCGTAGCAAAGAATACCCTGCAATGAATATTGTTCTTGTAAAGGTAATCCCAGCAGACTGGTAATTACTGAAAGAAATAAATTTAAACCACTACCAAATAGGCGGTTCGAACTAAGCCGGCAAACGTGGGGTTGACCATTTTGGTTGGCCAGAATGGTTTATGAATAAAGATAAGACATTTCAAATGGAACAAAGGTTCTAACTTTGACATTTGTTTTTAATAATTGAACTTAACTAGCATTTTAATTTAAAAGTGATTCGATATGTTACTTTATAATATGGAATTGTAATTATATCGCTACTTGTACATCAAGATGTACATAGGGGGTTACACCCCCCTCACATGGGGGTTGGGATTCACTCGAATAAAAAATATTATTCAAGTGGGTCCCACCCCCAACGTGAGAGGGTGTAACCCCTTATGTACATGTCTTGATGTACAAGTGGACTAGTTCTTGTAATTAATATTGGACATGACATAAAATAAAAGGAGTCAAAATAATAATTTGAACGTCCTTATAAGCACATTGTAAGTTTGAGCCAACGGCCTACGATGAGAATTTGGGAAAAGTTGGATGTGTTTATTTAAGTGATAGTACGTACGAATAAAAAAATGTAGTAAGAGATTAGGGTCAGAGGAAAGAGCTGAGCTAATTAGGCTCGATGATTGTGCGAACAAAAGTGAAAGTTGTGTTAGTAGTATTACCTTCCAACCATAGGGTAATTGTGGCTTGAAAGTTTAAAAATTACAAAAATCGAGTAAGAAATTCAGCCCATATTCGGTCGGAATAAAATTCAGATTTTTAGTAGATTTTGATAGAAGTTGACGGAGTGTGTGGTTGAATAATTTTTTTGAAAACTATATAAATAAAAATGATTTTGAAAATAATTGTGCCAAAACAATCAATTTTGTAAATTTGGGGAAGACGTTTGGCTTGGACAGCCGTTGTGTTATTTTTCAAAATTTTCAATTTGCAATGTTTACCGTGACAGAATTGCCTTGATAACTAAAGCAGAGATTTAAGCCTAAATTCAAGAGAACCAACAAACAAAAAAACAACTTATAGTTATTTAATTACTCTTTTTTGGCCTAAGTGATTATAATTAATTATAAGTTTTAAGTCAATCATCGCATAGTAGTAAACCACTCTGAAGTAATCATCAAAAAACGTGCTTCCCACTATTTGCTCTTCATATATACACAATAGCCTGAACGTTTTTCCGTTCATTTGTACCAAGATGCCAACACCCAGGCACAAAATGCCCACTCCCAAGCGGCGGCCACCGCCTCCGCCGGCCCCTAATGTGGTGGCGCCAGCTGACAATTCACCTCCCAACCCTCAATTCTATCTCCAAGAACCATCCCGTAAAAAGAACCCCTCCAGGTCCACTAAACTTTTCCAGCGTGTCCGATCAGTTTTCCGGTCATTTCCCGTCATCAGTCCTCCATGCAAGATGCCTGTTCCGATCAACGATGGCCATATTCACGGCGGAAAACAGATGACCGGAACCCTATTCGGGCACCGAAAATCTCGTATAAACATAGCAATTCAAGAAAATCCCAGGTGCCTTCCAGTTCTTGTCCTTGAACTCTCCATTCAAACTGGAAAACTCCTTCAAGATATGGGATTGGGACTTGTTCGAATTGCACTCGAATGCGAAAAACACCCTTCAGAGAAAATCAAGCTGCTTGACGAACCCATCTGGACTATGTACTGCAATGGAAGAAAAGCTGGATATGCAGTAAAAAGAGAGGTAACAGACGACGATTTGAAGATTATTCAGATCCTGCATGCAGTGTCAATGGGCGCCGGAGTTCTTCCCGGCAATGTCGCAGACTCGCCGGAAGGGGAACTGACATATATGAGAGCTTATTTTGAACGAGTGACTGGATCGAAGGATTCAGAGACGTATTACATGATGAATCCGGATGGTAATAGTGGGCCTGAACTGAGTATTTTCTTTGTTAGAGTCTGATTGATTAATTAATTAATTAACCATTGAAAAACATTTATATATATCTGTCTGGTTCTTGTGATTTGCTTATTTTACTGGTTCTTGTTAGAGTTATGTATATTGCGCTCAAGAAATTTATCATCAATATTCTTTATGGGTAAATGTTAAAATAATCCTATTATGTGGGCTTCCAAATGATTGCAAATTTTATGGGTTAGATGTATGATTTGCAATGATACTGTGATTATGTCAAATATGTTAGTGATCAAGTGGGCTGTTGTACACCTTACATGCTTTATTATTTATAATGTTGTAATTTTAAGTGTGTGAGTCTGAATTAAGTAAACCCTAATTAGGATTAGAGTCGACAATGGGCCGACTTTATGATTTTCTATATAATGGTTAGGTCATCTCTCCTCTCCATATGTTTTTCACTTGCCGCATTGGCGGCATATTATTTTGAGGAGCAAGGAAATGAAGATCCAGCTGGTAATATTCACACACACATAATGTCTTCCGCATGCAGGAATTTCGAACTATCAATTAATTGTGTGATTCTTATTCTTAGCATGATTGTATTAAATAATTTCAACAGTAAAATCTTACATTTGGATATTTATTTCACGTTGAAATTTAGCCTGTCATTCCTCTTTAGAAAACACTTTCACGTAAACTCTTTAGGGTAATGTTTTTGCCTTTTAGAGCTTCACCGCTTATTTTTTGTCTTAAAATCGCGTTTTGAAGAATTAGATTCTATTTCAATGAGTATTTTATGTGAGTGAATATGTGAGTGATCTGCTTTTAAAACTAGGTCTTATAAGATTGCCTTTATTTTCTTTGAATTTCATTTGTGTAAGATGATTTTACATTTAAATTTAGAAATGCTAGATATTATGTCAACATTATGTTCAAGTTTTCTATCCATCTTCCATTTATTGTTACTAAAAAAAATAAAAAAACTTCATGTTGATTTATTGACAATGGTTCTCGCCATTACATGCATTTTAGTTTTTGATCCCACAATACAAAAAGTTTAGGTTCGCCCCTATATGACATACGTGCGACGGTTTGTTATATGATGTATTAATATGGTAGTTTTTTACTGCCTCATGCATCAAATAACAAACTGTCACATGCATTGATGCGCGAATATCGATAGTCCTTACCATGAATATCATTACTCGCCAAGAAAGTGTTAGCTAATGAGTGGGATTGTAATGCACTTCAAGCCAACATCTTATCTTAAAGCAAATAAAATGGAACTTCTAAAACAAGTCCCACAGTAAAAATGCATAGTTTGCTGTTAAAGGGAAAAGGAAAGCCAGACCTCACCCAAAAGGCAAGCTCCATAACTTCAGCTCAACTTTAATTCTGCCGAACTTTTAGATAACTAAACAACACTGCCAAACCTGAAAAACAAACTCCCATGTAATCCTGTTGTAAGCATTTATGTTTCTGTTTCTGTTTCTGGCAAGGCATTGCTAACTCACATTTTTCTTCCATTCAACTCAAATCCAATAACTTAATAAATTTCTTGAGATTATTATTGCAAGTATTTGGCATATAGCTCCTGATTGGTTTTAAATATAATTTTTAGATATTTGAATAGTGCATTTATTTTTAAAATAAAAAATAAAAATCTATATCCACCCTTCCAAATTGTTGATTTCCAATTTTGTCCTTTCATTGGCAAACACAATATCACTTCCACCTCTCAAAAATTGATTCCTAATTGATTTTTCCAATAGTTTTAGCGGGGTAATAAGGAACAAAACCTGCATATTGGGGGTGTGGAAAAGTCAATTCATTCGTGGATTAACATATTTGACATGGAAAATGAGATTCTTTTAGCAAAACGGAACTCAAAACAATGCTTAATGAATTACACTAGTGGTGTGCCATTGGGTGGTTTGGTCTATCTCAAATTAGCGACGATACATTAACCAAAGATTAATGTTTGAAATCTCGTATTTATTCACTTTCATTAGAATCTCAAATTTATTCGCTGAAAATTCGTTTCTTCCTCTTATTCGCAATCAGATTATAGTGAAAAAGAGTAACGAGTCTTATCAATAGTGTGAATAAGAAGTAGGTAAAAGTTGCTGCGAATGTGGAGTCCAGATCCGCTTCACACCACTTAGACGTTACAATTTTGAGTTGTTAAAATTTTAGTGGACAAAACGAATCAAAATTGTGGTGACCAAAATATAGATAAATAAATCAAATTCTTTTTAACTGTAAGATTTAGAACAAAAGAATCTATTTCAAATAATAATTTTAACCATAAAAACACAATCAATTTTAATAGGCAAACGACAAAGTCTCAATATTCCTTTAAATCACAAATATAGAAAACAACCAATTCCATAAAAATAAAAATCCAACAATCAATTCCAATGTACAAGTCATTGTTTAGCTTAGAAGTGAGATCGAAGTACTCGAAACTTAACACTGAAATATTTTACTAGGGAATTATTTAGTAACTATGGCAAACCTAGGTCAATACAGGGGTGAGAAAGGTAGGAATGTTGATGGAAAATTTTGTATTTACTGGGGGGTTTTGTGAGTTTCTCATAAATTGAAATTTGACATAAGCAAATTGGTGTAGATTTCATAAAGTTGATATCCGGCCCATCTCTCTTCTCTAACTTTGGCTTATTAAATTTAGGGAATAGTTAACAAATCAGGGATTAACTTTTACAATTGCAAAAATCAGGTATTAATTAATTAATTAATATTAATTAGTTAAAAATTAATTTTCGGTCAGAGTTTTTTTGCAGGTCACAGATTTCCAAATTAGTTGGTTACAGATTTTTTAATGGTCACATATAAAAAAATTTATAGGTCACGATTAATTCGTTGGTTACATATCAAAATTTATAGGTCACACAGTCACAAATTTCCAAATTAGTTTGTCACAGATTTTTTCACGGTCACAGATTATATAACTTTTAGGTCACAGATTATAGAATTGGTCACGTTCCAGGCTCAATTAATCAAGACCCATGGTTGGGCTAGGTGCGCCATGTGAAGGCGAGCCTAGCCTAGGTGGTCCGCCACCACGGGTCTTCCTGTCGGCGTCGGAATTTGCAGTAAATATGTTCGCCTGTCACGAGTTCGAGAGTTTCTGGGTCAAATTCAGGTTATTGGGAGTTAAATCGAGGTTGACCCATACTTGAGCAAGGTGCGTGTTGGGGAGGGGAAGATGACCCAGTTGGTTCGCCACCGTGGGTCATCCGGACGGCATCGAAAACTGCATTTTTCGGACCTGTTGGTTTCTCGTTCGCGACTACAGATATTGCTGTGGTTAATTCCGTTTTGTGTGATACTTTTTGGGATGAATTGTGGACATGGGAAGGGTCGTCTGGCTTTGGGGAGTTGGCCGGTGGTGGCCCGCCACCGTGAAGTTGACTGGAGAAGGCGATTCCGACGGTTTTAGCATTTTTTGGGCAGTTGATTTTGACTGTCGATTTCTCCCTCATACTTGGATGAAATTGATGGATGTTGGGTGGAAATTAAAGGTGTTGTTAAGGGCTTTGAAATGGTATCAAAATCCGGTGGTCTTGGTGGCCAGAAATTGTCGGAATTATTTTCCATTCCAGAGAGAAGAAAGAGCGTTTGGGGGTAGAGAGATAAAGTGAAAGGTGAATGGCAGCGTCACGACGCTGTCGCTGTTCACAGCAGGCAAAGAGAGACTCACAGGCGAGGGAGAGAGGGGAAGGTGAAGGAGGAGGAGCCACCGCAAGGTAGGCAGAGAGAGACGAGGGAGAGAGGGGAAGGAGGGAAAAGAGAGGAGAATGAAATGAAATTAGAGTTTGAGTGGTATAATATTTAATTACCTGAATTTTGATTAAAAAATTTTCACACATGATTTTTGCACTTTGAAGTTTAAAGATCTGATGTAAGTAATTTTCCCTTAAATTTATATTGGATCAAATTCATCCCCGATCTGCCGTAGCCCAATAAGAACATATTATTGGTCATAAAATCTATCGATGGTGCACTGACTATTAAATATTTGAATAAACCGTTCATCCAATATTCAAGAAAGGAACATAATCTTAGGGGGGTTTTCAGAATAGATAATTAAGTAGAATTAATTCAATAAGTAATAATCTGAAACTCTTCAAATCATAGATAAATCCCACTTTTGTAGAATGAGATATTATTGATGAAAAGTGGGTCTAAACAAGAGCTAATCATTTCATTCCAAGAACTTAAAATAAATTTCTTTCATCATTCAATGCTAAATAAGGTGGTGGTGAAATATGTGTATTCCACTTCCCTTTTGCCATTCATTTGTAATTTCCACTCTTTTCTTGCTTTTTATGCAATAATTCAGACTACCAATTGGTATAACATGCATGCAATTGCTTCATTAATGATTTATATACACACATTTCACTTCCGATTTTATTCTCCGCGTGGCATTCAGATTGAAGGACTATAAATTTATGTCAATACTTCCAAAAATTATAAAGCGGCGCAATCTTGGCTGTGGCCATGGACTCAACTTCCCTATACTAGTGGTGCTGTATAGCATTACTTTTATAGAAACACTATATTTTGTTTCATATGCTCAATTTGATAATGCTCGATAGGATTGAGCAAAAAGTTAATATTTAATTAGTAGGAATTCATTGTATTGTTCGATATTAATTGTTTACGAACTATGCGATCTAAAAAAGAGAATGTTACTCCAACGATTGAGCCTCGTGATAATAAAATATTGTCTAGACATCAATCAAAGATGATAAAGAAATAAACACTCCATTTGATCAATCAAAGTTTCAAAATATATGTTATTTTCACATAAATGGGAAATTAATTAAGGTCATCAAATAAGATGATATCCAAATATTTTTGATAAAATTTGTAAATTATTAAAAAATGGTCAAACTTTACTTTTAACAACATATGTTAATGGAATCCCAATTTATAAATATTTAATAAGTCTAATCAAATTAGATCGATAAAATTTATTAACTATAATACTCAATCTATCCATCCATCGTGCCTAA